TTTTTTTGGGGGGGGGGGGGAGTTGAGATTAATTATGTAACTTAGCTTTCTTATTAGTTAGTTAGTTAAGTAGCAGTTAGTTAGTTTGGTGTCAGCTGTAGCCAGCTCACTCGTTAGTTTAGTCCGTTATGTTTTCTTTTACTTTGTCGAGACACCTTAGTATATAGTGGGATCTCCACTTTGAGTTCAATCAGATTTGTGAGTTCTAGAAGATTCATTTCCTTCTCCCTCCCATCACTGATGGCGTGAAGGTCCAATTCTCATCACCATTGGAGCTCAGCTCGAGCTCAAGTTACTGTTCCATTGACAAAATTGATATATCTTTTTTTTAATTAATTTTTTAGAAGATTCATGATGTATGTTAACGACTCAAAATTGTTTCATGTGCTTCTCATCAGATGAAATTTAGTACTCCCTCCGTTCCAATTTATATGAACCTGTTTGAATAGGCACGAAGTTTAAGAAAAAATGAAGACTTTTGAAATTTGTGGTCCTAAACAAGTCAAAAAGGGGGCCAGAGTATTTGTGTGGTTATAAAAGTTTCTCATTAAGAGTAGAATTGTAAGTTTAAGCAAAATTATTTCTAAATTTAGAAAAGGGTAATTCTTTTTGGAACGGACCAAAAAAGAAATAGGTTCATATATACTGAAACGGAGGGAGTATGTATATATATTTTCAAGAAAAATAATTTTCGCTCATCAACCAACATCGAAAAAGACTTCGTCATACCACTATAACATAAGAAATGGATTGTTTTGGTGGCCAACCCCAAAGTCTATTGAAACTCAAAAGCCAATCCTGCGTTGATTGTAAAATCATGAAACCACCCCTAACATTAGGGGATTCTAAACGTCAGGAAGACAAGTCTTAACAACTTAAGCAGGTATAAAAATTTGATATCAAGGACTTCGTTAGAAAATAACAATTGGATTTGTAATTAGGAAATGAGAAAAGTTTTCAAAGATGAACTAGAAGTTGTTGAGGAAAAAGATATAAACCTGCCTTTATATTTCTGGTTAACCTGTTTTCCTTGGAGTTTTGAGTGGGGATATAAAGAGAGGTTCTAATTAAAATAAAAATTTGGATAAAGACCTTTAAACCAAATGTGTCCTCAATTCCTCACTCATGTTCCATGTCAAAATAGTCAAATATTTGGTGAAAGATTATTATTAAACCAATTTCAAGTCCACTAAAAAGAGGTGGTCAGTGACTAAATCTAATAGTTTTCTTTTTATAAGAAATCTCAAAAGAAAAGAAGTTTCTTTCGGGGGGTAAGGAACAATAATTTAGGCACAAAATTATATCTAACTGATATTCCATTCCTTCCTTTTAGTTGTTCAATATACTAAAAATAAGTTGCTCATGGTATGTAACTAAATCGAACAAATGACTTTGCACTATTTTATGTTAGTATTTGCTACTAGCGATTACTGGTTCACTGTGCTACCTAAAATTTTCCAAACTGGCCTAGCATAAAACTCCCAACATTAATGAACATAATTTTAACATTTAATGCTATTTAATTTCGACCCCTTATTGTGCACCACTTGCAAAGTTGTGAAATATACTTGTCATGACAATATATGTGCAAAACTTTTTTAGATAAGTCGGGCTACATTATTAAATATGCTCCTGCCTCATATAACTAATTCGGCCGTTACCATAATTTCTACTTCCTTTTTGTTTTCTCCAGAACAAGAAAAGTGCAAGCAACTTATTATTGCCAAAATTATAGTACATCGTATGAAATTATTTTAAATTATTAATCAATTACTCATTCAAGTACGTCTCCATTCTAATTTGTTTTTTAATATCTTTCCCCGGGTGTCTGAAATCTACTTTGGGGTCTTGAGTAATTCGAATTCGTATCACGTAAAGTCCATTATGAAAAAAGTTCCTTATCAATTACTCCCTCCGTTCACTTTTACGTGTCCAGTATTCTAAAAATAGAGTTTCATTTTTACTTGTTACTTTTAGCATATCAAGAGAAGACAATTTCTTTTTTTTCTGTTATACCCACAACATTAATTACTCATTTCAAATCATTTTTTCAAAACCATTAAAAATATACATCAATTAATATGGATATCATGGTAAATTATGTACTTCATTTATTATTTCTTACGAGACGTGAAAAGTCAAAACATGACAAATAAAAGTGAACGAAGGGAGTATATAGACTCGAAACCCCAAATCTCTGATTAAATATGGAGAGATCTTATACAACCAACTATAATCTCGAACTAGTTGGGATTGAGTAAAAACTTATTATTAGCTGAACTGCTGAAGAGGTCTCAATTTGTTTCGCCATAAAAAATAGAAAAGATAACTATACTATAGTAACTAATATAATATGGACCAAAGGTAATACTTAAAAACTAAAACTGCGGGTCAGTATAACACTAAAAAACAAACCTGAAAAGTACGTACTAACTAACCAACATTCACTAGAAACAATCAAAGAGACATGGGCGTATTAGAGGGTTCCACGGGCACGTGAACCCATGCTCCCTCCTTAAATATTATGTATAGTAATATCATATTATTTTAAAAATATTTAAATATATATGTGTGCACCCATGCTCAAACTATTATATGATATGATGGTTATTGAGTGTACCTGTCTAGGTGAGGTTGTGAGTTCAAATCTTATGTCAATCTTGTTATTTTTTCTTTTTTTCTAAAAGTAGACGCCCACGTGTCTGGTGTTATTTTTTGCGTATTAATTAAGTACTTTTTTTTTTGTTTGGTTTATTCTTTCAAGATTTTCATACATTGAAATTCCTATTCTTCTTTTGTCGCCATAAAATCTTATATGATTAAACAAAATGTGAATATTAAAATTTGTAGCAATGTATGATGTAGCATATAATCAATGAGTTCAAATAATCTCAATATTTTCAACATGAAAAATAGATATAGATGTAAGAAAATTATTATTTAAAAAAAAATGAACTTATAATTCCAAAAGTGCAATGGATACGCAATCGTAAAAATTAAAGGTTGGACCCATAACATTTATATTCTGGATCCACCTCTTCTTAATAGTGCACCCATTCTGCCAAAATCCTGAATTCGCCTCGGTCAAGAGATGAACTTGATGAAGACCAAAAACATTTAATGGCATAGTAAATTAAATGACATTAACCAGAGCCTGCCAAAGGTTGGTTTAATAGGTTTGTGGGGGATTGGGTAAAGTATTCAAAGTTTACATGAATAAATACAGCCACGTCAGGAGTTAGGACTGATAACTAAAAGAGTTCAAAAATGGTTAAACATTAAATTATGAGAGCAGCTGACGTGTGCCCCATTTAGTGTATAGCTTTAAGTAGGTTAGGTTTCAGAGCAAAAACTGTACTTCAGGTAAGAACTCAAGTTGCATAAATACATATTGAGCCCTCAGTGGAGCTAGAGTTTTCAGTAAGTATAAACATAATATAAGAAAGTACATATTGGCACGGGCCCGATATTATAAAAGATGAAACTATTGTTTTTTATCAACTTTAATTTGATATGAAATGACAGAAAAGAGAAATAAATACATGTAATTGACTACCAAATCAGATAACTTTGTTTTGGTAAATGAAATAGCAGAGAAGAGAAATAGAACCTACTACCTCAATACTATTGAAATTTCTGGATAGTTATTGCAACCTCTGCACTTGATTAATTTTCTGTATTAATGCTTAATAGAGAAAAAAAACTTATTCTTTGTTGGTGAGAAAAGGGAAATAGAACAGTGAAGTCATTATGTAGTTCCGAAACGGAAGTGAATGGATGTGGTTAAATGACTTTTTCAAAGGATTATCTACTATTGAGCTTTATAACTTTGACTAAATGGGTTTAATTTTAACTTTGGTTCCAAATATTTTTAAAATAAATTGAGGCTATCTCTTCTGTAGGGAAGATAGAGGGGGATAGAGTTAGTTGTGAATATTCAACTTTAGTTTGATAATTAAAAGATAGAAATTAAATCTCAACAACACTAGTAAAATTAAATACTAAAATAATGTATATGTAAGCAAGCTTTATAAACAGTTGACTTTTTTATCATTTTATTTTGGTCCAAAATAAGTGACCTTTTACATAATTAAGAAGGAATTAGTTTTATTTTTTTAAACTTTGCCCTTGTTTACAAATCTCAAAATGTCAAGTTAACAATATGGCAATTTTGATTAAGGGTAATTTAGTCAAAATATCATATTTTTTTTCTAGGAGTTAGTATATTTTTAAGGGTGTGTCAAATACCAAAAAAATCACTTATTATGGACCGAAGAGAGTATTAGTAAGTTTTTATTGCTGGAAAAATTAAAGATGCTATATTAGAATTTTATGAGAATTGTATTTGGCTTCATTAAATTGAATTTGGTTAGCCGATAAACTTTTAATGAGGTTTAGATTCTTGTACACATCTAGTTCTTAGTAGTACTAGTTTTACAAAATATAATAACTACGACAATATATCCAAAAATCTAGCATTGATTGAGAGCTTTCTCATCACTTTATAGTTGAACGTATTTACTATATACTAAAAGTTCTATCAAACTTTCTTGAATGCGCGCACATAAATATATATATATATCAAGCCATTAATTCAATAACTATTTTTCCGCCGTGAAATTAACTCTTCTCATCTTCTATACCGAATTCTTCTGAAAATTTTCTCTTTGCAGTTAATTTTACCTCTAGACATCTCACGTCCACCCTACTTCTCCAGTTATAATCACAATTAATTCTGCACTAAATAAACCTCATAATTTTCTCCTTTCCTTCGCATTATATAAATGTAGTCAAACTTTTCCTATTATCTCCCACACTTCAAAGCTCCCTTTTCCTATTGCTACAAGTTTCAATCTTCTCTCAGGTTAGACATCTTCTTCAAGATTGTACTCGTTTTTTTAAAAAATTAATTTTATATTGGTTTGTTTTTCTTTAGTACGTAGTTGTTGTTTAAGTTGTGGACTAAATTTTTATTTCTTTGTCTTATAAATACAGGGTTAGTGGAATATATATAAGCGGACAATTCAAAAGAAACAAAAAATGAACTACAGGAAAGAGAGTAGTGATCCAAAGCTTGATTTGAAGCTAAACTTATCTCCACCAAGGGCAAATATTTTTCAAAGAGAAATTTCACCATTTTCTTCAATGGAAAGATCACCAGCAAGTTCTTGTGTTTCTAGAGAACCAACTCCAGAAGATCAACAGTTTTTTGGAAATTACCAAAATAGCCCAGAGGCAACAACTTCAATGATGCTTGTGGGTTGCCCTAGATGCTTAATGTATGTTATTTTATCAGTGGATGATCCAAAGTGTCCCAAATGCAAGAGTTCTGTTTTGCTTGATTTTTTCCGTGAGGATAGAATCAACAATCCAAAGAATTGAATCAAGAAGAAGAAGAAGAAGAAAAACAGCTGTGGTTTTTGGCTTGATTTGCTGGATTATTATTGACCCTTTACTAAGATTAGGTTTTAAGTAGGAGTATTTAATTTCTTCATATAGTATGTCCTTTTTTTTTTTTGTTGGTTATGGAAATGCTTTTGGTTGCTCACAAAACGAAGGGGAAGAGAGAGCTTTTAATTTTGTGAGTTTGTTGAGGTTATTGAATGAATTGTGACGAAAATATTGAATATACCTCGACTATAGGGCCAGCTGGTCTTGTTATGCAACCAATATGCCTAGTATGGTTTGGTCTTCATATTAATACATTTGATGTTAGCAGCTCTTTGTTGCCATCTTTACTAAATGCAATCAATATTTTGTTGCAACTACTTTATTTATACCATCATTCATGGGATGAGATCCCCTCCGGTGAAAATTAGTCCAGTATTGTTTAATACATAGACCGATTTATGCCATGTGTCCACCCACTTATTTTATGGCTTAGATTCATTTTGTTGTAAACAATTAAAAAGGTAAGGCAATTTTGAATTAAAAATGATAAGAAAATACAAAAAAAAACTAACGGCAGCCGTTTATATCAACGTGCCTGCCATTTGATCTCATTTCTTAAACACTACAATGTATTTGTAACGACCCGACTGGTCGTTTTGAGTATTACAATTTTATTTTCTCATTTACTGCTTATTATATGTTCAAATATAATTATGAGACTTATCGGGGAGGTTTTAGAATGAATTGGAACACTTAGTTTCAAGAATTAAAGTTTAAGTTGAAATATTTGACTGGATGGCGAATTATGTGTAAACGACCTCGGAATAAACTTTTGATGATTCCAATAGCTCTGTATGGTGATTTGGACTTAAGAGCGTGTCCGGAAAATTATTTGAAAGCCCATAGCTAAATTAGACATGAAATGGCTAAAATAGATTTTAAGTTTGGAAGTTTGACCGGGGAGTTGACTTTTTGATATCGGGGTCGGAATTCAGTTCTAAAAATTTTTATAACTCTGTTATGTCATTTATGACTTGTGTGCAAAATTTGAGGTCAATCGGAATTGATTTGATAGGTTTCAGCATCAGATGTAGAAGTTGAAAATTCTTAAGTTCCTTAAGCTTGAATTGATGTATGATTCGTAGTTCTAGCATTGTTTGACGTGATTTGAAATTTTGACTAAGTTCGTATGATATTTTAGGACTTGTTGGTATGATTTGATGGGTCCCGAGGGGTTTGGGTGTATTTTTGGATCATTGGTTGAGAGACTAGTAAAGTTAAGAAATTTGGGAGTTTGACCATGGTCAATATCGGGTCAAGACGATATCTTTTCAGTATTTTGAGTGCGCGAGCAGGTCCGTGTCGTGTTTTATGATTGGAATTCATATATGGTTTGTGTCCGGAAGGTTTCGGGTGAGTTTCAGATGGTTAACAGATCACAATTTGGACTTAAATAGCTGCTGAAAATTTCTGCTGCTGGAAAAATCGAGGTCATAAAAATCAAGACTGGAGAAAATCGAAGTCATGAAAATCGAGGTCATGAAAATCGAGGCTGGAGAAAATCGAGGTAATGAAAATCGATGTCATGAAAATCGAGGCTGGAGAAAATCGAGGTCATAAAAATCGAGGCTGGAGAAAATCGAGGTAATGAAAAATCGAGGTGGAGAAAAATCGAGGTCATGAAAATTGAGGCGAGGCCTAGACAGAAACTTTAAGTTATAAAATACGGGGGTTTCGTCCCATATTTTCATTTTTGACAAATTGGAGCTTGGGGAGAGGCGATTTTAGAGAGATTCTCAAGGAAAAATATCAGGGTAAGTGATTTTAACTCGGATTTGGTCAATATACACGAATATATCATTGTTTTCATCATTTAATTAGTGTTTTGAGATGAAAATTTGGGGAAAATGAGAAAAAGTTCTTGGACTAGAATTTTAAGGTTTTGAATGGGATTTTGTTATCGGATTTGAGTAAAATTGATATGGTTAGACTCGTGAGTTAATGAGCTTTCGGGTTTTATAACTTTTATCAGGTTCCGAGACGTGGGCAATTTTTGAGCTAAATTTTGAATTTGGTTGAAAAATTAGTATTTTCTTATGAAATTAATTCTAATAAACTTTATTGATTGAATCGAATTATTTGTGGCTAGATTCGAGGCGTTTGGAGGCCAATTCACGAGAAAAAGACATTGCAAAATAAAGAATTACACGGCTTGAGGTAAGTAACTCTTCTAATCTTGGAGCTGAGGGTATGAATCCTGAATATACGTATTATGTGAATTGTTTGGAGGTGACGCGCATGCTAGGTGAAGGGCGTGTGGGCGTGCACTATAGATATTGTGACGTAATTGGTTCCGTGAAATTTTGTAGTCAAATAATCTTGACATTTTCTATGTAGTTTTATGTGTTAAAGAAATTGAGCTGAGAATCATATTAAAAATCACGCTGAGGCTATGTGCCAGTATTATTGAGACCCATGGAGATCATATTGTTGTGAATTATTTATTTCAAATGAAATTTCATACTCAGTCATGTTTATTCATTTCACATCATCTCTCAGTCTCTGTTGTTATTTATTGATTCATCATATCATCATTTTGGGCTAGTTTCATGACATTGTGAGACCGAGAGACTAGAGAGATTGATGACTGAGTGAGGCCGAGGGTCTGATTGTGAGGATACTTATGGGATCGGGTTGCACGCCGTAGCAGGCCATATTGGCTTTATATACTTTATTATTATGGGTTCGGGTTGCACGCTGCGGCAGGCCATATTGGCTTATTATAGCACGTAAGTTGTCCGTGCGGATCCAAATATTGATACTATAACACGTGAGTTGTCCGTGCAACACGTGAGTTGTTCGTGCAGCACGTGAGTTGTCCGTGCATATTATAGCGCTTGGGTTGAAGGAGCCCCTCCGGAGTTTGTACACACTCCCAGTAAGCGCATGTATCTACTGAGTGCGAGTACCGAGTGCCGAGTGCAGAGTGCGAGTGCAGAACAATTGGGAGGATTGAGTGACTGTGATGACTGAGTGACTGTGATGACTGAGTGACTGTGAGGACTGGGTGATAGGGAGGACTGAGTGAATTGATACTCTGAGAAGTATGCATATAGTTTTATCACTGAGATACATTGCATTGACATGCACCCATGACATACAGACATAGAGATGTATTTTTCTCACGCTGTACGGTATCACGTCATTCATGACTTCTCACACATATTGGCCTACGGGCATAGTGATGCATTTTTCCACTGGCTATCTGGAAAGAAAATAAAACATCTTATCATTGTTGAAAGGAGTTTTGGAAAAAATTATTGTTTTCAAACTTATTCGTATCTTTGGCAACTTCGGTAAACGACTTGGGACTTTCACTGATACACTTGAAAGGTAGAACTATTTTTGAAAATCATGATTTACCTGAGCATTTATTCCTTGGGTTACTTCTTTCATTACTTGCTTTATGTGGTTATGAACTGTTGTTGGTTATTGGAGTTGGATTCTGACCTTAGTACAAGCTTGTCACTACTTTCAACCTAAGGTTAGGTTTGTTACTTATTGAGTATATGGGGTCGGTTGTACTCATACTACACTTCTGTACCTTGCGTGCAGATGTTGGCTGCTGATGTTGTTGCGTTCGTCGGGGGGTGGATTTGAAGGTGTACCTGGGTTCCGGTTGTAGCTGCCTCTTGTTCATGGTAGCCTTAGATTCATAAAACTCCGTTTATGTACTTTTCAAACAGATGANCAAGCTCGTCACTACTTTCAACCTAAGGTTAGGTTTGTTACTTATTGAGTACATGGGGTCGGTTGTACTCATACTACACTTCTGCACCTTGCGTGTAGATATTGGCTGTTGATGTTGCTGTGTTCGCTGGGAGCTGGATCTGAAGATGTACCTGGGTTTTGGTTGTAGCTGCCTCTTGTTCATGGTAGCCTTAGATTCATAAAACTCCGTTTATGTACTTTTCAAACAGATGATGTATTTATTTCATACCAGCTTTGTAAACTCTATTCTTAGCAGCTCATGATTTGTACTACCAGTTCTTGGGGAAATGTATTGGTTTCATATATTTTCTTTTAATTAATTGCCTTATTAAATTCATTGGAATTGAATAGTTGATAATTGGCTTACCTAGCGGGTTGGGTTAGGTATCATCACGACTAGTCGAATTTTGGGTCGTGAGAAGGTGGTATCGGAGCTCTAGGTTCATAGGTTCTACGAGTCATGAGCAAGTGTCCAGTAGAGTCTTGCGGATCGGTATGATGACGTCCATACTTATCTTCGAGAGGCTACAGGGCATTTAAGATAATTTTCCATCTTTCTTTCCTTATCGTACGGAATTGATTCTGCTTGAAATATAACTCTTTGAATTCCTTCCACGCATTCGTGTGCGCATGTGAGCGCGCAGTATCAGTTGTGTATCGCCGGCTTGCGATTTCAGGGATGATGTGCGAGATGTGTATTCTGTGTTTTGGTGATGGACCAGTCTGGAGGACTTGAGGCCATGGTTGAACCACAACTTAAGCTCGGTAGCTTCAGTTGTAACCTGTACATTTGGACTCATATGTCTGGTAATGTCCCTACGAGTGGAATTTATGGCTCGATGAGCGGTGAAATGGCTTTGTGATGAGTATGATGTAACTGCGGGATGTGTTAAGACGATGTGAATGTGGCGAGAAGTGTTTCCTTGAAATGCAAAGGAAGGCCATTGGATGTTTGATTTTCGTTTTGATGCGACGTACAGTCTCGAGTGTGAATGTTTTGAAAGATCTTTCACGTTGTTAAATTTTGGGGTAAATTAAATTCTCGTTTCTGGTTAACGAGTTTGGACTCAGAAAGATTAAGTGATTTCATAGTAATTGTGGCTGCGAATGGGTATAACAAGATGCCAATTTGAGACTAAGCAGGTGGGTTATCTCCTGCGGAGTAATCTACGAAGGTGTATTCCTTATGATGTGAATAGAGAGTTTCTTTTCTGCCAGTGAGGCGTATGTGTTGAGACTTGAATTTGAATCTGGTTGAGAAAGTTGACTTGAGTGTTAAGAGAATGAATGCGAGATTAAAGGATAATTGAGGTATTTTATAGTTGGTGTTGCATGGGTCTGAGAAGAATTTTCGTTGAACTAACTGCAGTATTAAGGCAGTAATAGAGTATGGGTACTGCGAATTATCGAGTGTTTTAATTAATGGCTTTGAGCCAAGTGGGAGAGCCTGCTATTGACAATTCAATTCATGGTTATGTGTCAAATTATTTTGTTTTGGTCTGAAGTATACTTGGGAATCAGTGATGACTTGTAGAGGTAGAGTTCGAGAATGACTCGAGTAAGGAAATTTCTGGATACGGG